GTAGTGGGATCTGACTTATACAAAATTAGCGAGTTTGCCCCGTTGCATTGCACCCACGCGATCGGAAAGCGCTATGTTAGATGGTATTCTAGACGTACATCTACGTCTAGGAGTACACGGTCCGACTTCGAATGGCAACAAATTATTAAATTGGAGAATATGGTCAGGAACTTTCCACTTAGCTTTATTTGGTAGTGGAAATATAGTTTCGACATACGCGGTTCTCCAATAATCAGCCATATAATAATGAGTGCATAAGTTGTATGATGAAAATCCTCTATGCCTGGCCACTGCGAATGCATGCGCACATGGAAAACTCTTCAGCTAAAATTGTCTATACGTACAGGTATTATCATACATGTCCAAAATATATCTATATCTGATATTAAGTTCGTGTCTCACTGAGAAGCGGAATTGATCCAGTTGTTCCACACTTACCTTTCTTATCACCTCTAGTGTTTCGAAGAGTCTATCTTCCTAAGTCGGAGTTAGCACAATTGTTCACATAGCTGATTCAGCACGTCGGTCTCTAAACCATTGCTATAACTTGTTACAAATATGCTCAATCATTGCGAGAATTGGTAACTATCGATCATTCTTCAATAATGCATTGATACTCCCGTACAATATGTGATTTATTTTTTATTTCGACCATGAATTTATTTAACTCTTCGAAATTGTAGGCCTCTGCAACTCTCTTAAACAATGCAGTGATGCCACTCCCCTGATACTTACTCTTCAGATTGCCTTGTATATGATATATGCAATAACCATGATGTTACTCGGGAAAAATTTCAACGATACAATTTATTATAGGTTTGCCTTGGTCTAGTACAAAGGCAATGTTTTTGAAGTCTTCAATTACTTCCTCAACTTTGTAAAGAATGAACACATCGCTAGATCATTTTCGCCATTGACTATGCCTAATGCAAATGGGTGAATTTGGATGATGGCATCCGACATGTAGGAATAATTAACTTTTCTTCATATCTAGCTTTCAGGGTTGTACCATCGACTAGAATTAGAGTTCGTATCGCATTTCAAAATTCTCGAATGTATTATCCAAAAATCATAAAGAAATACTCGGTCTCAATAAAAAAATGTCGAGTTGGAATTAGTTCACCCCATGTTATGGTAATACTAAGTTAATTTAACATAACTCTACTCGGTCGAACCCATTAAATCCTCCAATGCACATTCTTTAGTCTTCCAGGCTTTCGGTAGCTCATGACCACCTCATACTTTTGACGGGCGTCGTTGATGATTTCGGCAGGTCTGTAAATCGTTCGTGAGTCCTGAAACTTGTACATTATTTGTCGACGAATAAATCATGATCGAGCTTGTTTATGGTCATTTCGACGAATACTACTTCACGAGTATGTTCCTGTGTATACTTGCGAACTGCAAAGAACTCGTTCAGCTTCATCTTTGTCGCTAGCAAATGTCAACTGCAATTGTCGTCAACACAAATAGTTGTATGTATAGACTCGTTTAATTTCTTTACTTTAAACTGAAAGTTATGTTTCATTGCAATTCGATGCACAACTTCTTGCAAATCTCTCTTCGTATCAAACATTTGATTGATCAGGAAATACACACGAACAATTAGAAGACTGTGTACTCGGTCCAGCCTGTGAATTCCCACCTCACTCATGTCTCTGACTAGATAAAACAATCAAATCATGATTTGTAAATTATTTTTCATCCTCGTTTTCTTGAACTACCTCGTGAATTCTGTGCGTAACAGTTAGATCATGATGAGTAGCAACTGTCCGAAAATAACCATATCTTCCTCACGAGTTATCTCCATTGTGTCTAAAAATCATTTACGTTACGAACCCCCTCTATTGGAATCTTCGTACTCACTTTTTGGGGAAATTCTTCCTCAATAAAGTTACGCAAATAGGAGTCGACTTGCGACTTTAGTTCAATTCAATTAGTAATTCGCACTTCAAAACTTTACTTGTGGAATTTGAATGGTAGAATGCTCGTGAAATTGAAATATCAATTCCATATCGTACTGAAAGTGATCCACGTTGAGCATGTTTTCTATATCATGGCACATTTTTGTATATGATGTATTTGATGTTATCACAATTTCAGTAACACCGTTTCCTTGACTCTTCCGTTCCCATCAAGCATTTTCGTTCATTTGAAGTTCACTAAAGTAACAATCTAGGAGACACGTTGACCCCATTCTGCATTACGAATCAAAAATATTAAAAAAAAAAAAAAGATTAACCATAAGGAATTAATAAATTAGGGCACTAAAGAAAAAAAAATTGGCCTTCATTGTCCAGCTAGGTCGTTTGTTAAAAGACGACCCGACGGTTGGCAGTCCGTTATGGGACTGTCCAACCATCTGAATTCTTAAAATATCAGATTTGATTATACAAATGATTTTTTCTCATTTTTTGTTTTAAAAAAATTATATATCCATTAAATGAAATATAAAAAATTATCTACGAATTAGCAAAAGTCGAAATTAATTTTAACGATTGAAAAAATATACTAATANATAAAAAATTATCTACGTATTAGCAAATGTCGAAATTAATTTTAACGATTGAAAAAATATACTAATATAATGAAAACAAAATTAAATATACTTATAAATGATTTTTTTTTTTTTTTGAACGTTTGATAAATTTATGAGGTTTTAAGGTTGAGGTGGATGAAAAATGAAAGAAACGTTACTTGTATTGGAGAAAACATATAAAGAAAGTGACCTGATTTTGAAATTGTAAGTGAAAAGTGTTGGTTTTTGTTATGTAATTAAAATGTTATTCTTATCTTTTTAATAGAACCATACTTTTGTAGTTTAATAACCTTATTAAGAGTATTTTTGTCCTTTTCAATTGAAAAGGCCACTGTAGTGAATAAAGAGTAAATTAGACTTATGCAGTGAATGACAAGTTTGACGTGATCATTTTGAAAACTCTCTCTATTCGGTAATCATTCTTTCAAAATATTTTTTTCCTTACACTTATTTTTAACTTCATATTCTCACAATAAATTATTCTTCACGTAAACGCAAAATTTTTCCTACTTTTTAACCACATATTTTCCAAATAATTATTATTCAAAAACTCATTCTTCCCAAAAAAATGACCGTCAAACTGGGCCTAAGCTTTTGTTTGGAAAATTTATAAATGATTTGTAAAGATGAATATTAGTGAGTTTCACAAAATGTGTAGTTAAGAATGAGTAGTATATATGAATGTATAATTGAAATTAATGTTTGATTTTATGATTCAATTTTTTTTGATGATAAAATAATATAAATGAGCACCTTTTTTTATACTACATTTGGTATATAAAAATTAATTGTTAATACATGAATTTGAACACACATTAAAATTCCTAGAAACATGAATGAAAATAAATTTATCCATAATAACTCTAGATTCATATAGATCAGATTTATTGAGTTTAGATTAATGTGAATGTCAATTAATTAAGAATTAATAACGCAAAATTCATACATGACAATGAATTTACAGTATTTATTACATATTGAAAAACGAAAAGTAAGATATTATTCACGGTATGCATACGTCATGTAACTATAGACATTATTCACGGTATACTTACCTTATGTAACTATAGACATTATTATCCAACTTGATAGAGGTTTCTTATTATTTAGAGACCATTTACGAGCGTGCTAATAAGACGAGGGACGAGACATAATTGATTTAAAGGTATGTTTGGCAAAGTTTTTATCAGACTAAAATAATTTTTTTTTTATTTTTGTATGATGCACAAGAAAGACCATGTCCGTTTACACACAAACGTTGGTTGGGTCCTCCCGCGAGTTTTAACCAGCGAAATCGCAGCATAACCTCTTGAGCTCTCTATCTCTCCTTCTCTTTAGCCATTTCTCTCTCACTCTCGCGTTAAAATGTTTCTTCTTCTCCATTTATAAACCAGTTTGCATTTCCTAAGTTGGATATGCCATTATTAGGATCTTTTGTGCTCTGTGTTAATTTCATTGTATATAGATTTTTATCCAAAATGCAAACCGGGGTTTTCGATTTTTTATTCAAATCCTGAAGTGGGTATATCTCAATCTGGGAATCTTGTTTTGTTTTGTTATTTTGAATTAATTATCTTTTCCGGTTTATGTGGGAATAGTGGTACACGGTGAATTTGTTTGTCGATTTGAGCATTTAGCGAGGTCGTTGCTTCAAGGTGATTCCACATCCATTCTTCTATTCATATGTAAAATTGAGAGATATTAGACGAAATGTTAATAATTTCTTGTTGATTCTTGATGTTATGCCTTAATTGAAACAAACGAAAAGAATTGAATAGAAGAAAGACAGAGAGAAAAGGTAGACAAGCAAATAAATTTCCAAAATTGATCGCATATAGATATTATTAGAGGACATTTGTACGCTTAATAAATATTTTTGACGTGGAATTTTAGATGGGGTTGGTTTGTTTTGGTTGTAGAATGGGAAGAGTCAAGTTAAAGATCCAGAGATTGGAGAGCATGACCAGCCGGAATGGTACCTATGGCAAGCGAAGGGCTGGAATTTTAAAGAAAGCTCAGGAAATATCAGTGTTATGCGACATTGACATTATTCTCCTTATGTTTTCTCCGACTGGAAAACCGTCAATTTTTCGTGGACAACACAGGTACTTACAGGTTACATAACGCCTAAATTATATTACATTATGGTGTACTATACTTGAGCATGTGATGGAGTTTCTATCTTTGTATGGTTTGAATTTTCTTGTCTATAAGAATTGGATTTAGTTGTGAGCAGATGTATTACTATCGTTAAAGGCATTGAAGCAAAATGAATAGGTAATAAGCAGATAGGTTGTCCAATCTTATAATGATTTCATAAGTGTAAGTCGATGTAGGACATAGTGCATTTGACTGAGGTGCAAACTGCCAAACGCTATACTCCCCATACATGCAAGTCGGTGAGGAGAGGTATGGCGTAAGGAGGAATCAGTCAAGAAATAAGAATCAGGTGCTACTATAACACTAATATAAATAAAATGCAAAATATGGAGAAAAATTAAACCATTGATGAAATAATAACAAAGACTTGTCTTATACTTTCTGAATCTCAACTCTGATATCATATTAAAGTATCCATATTTAAATCAGTTGACAATTAGTGGAGAGATTGCCCATGCTCAGATGCTCGTTTGGAAAGTACTAATTGATGTGGGATAAGCTCTTGTAGTCTTGTTAGGCCTTTGACAGTTATTATATACCTCGTTTATGTTAGATTTGCTAGGCCGGGATGTGATTGGTGGATTTCTGAGGAATTTGATACTAAAAGATTCACCTGCACTGCAGATTGAGGCAGGACTTTTGATGTGGTGCTGATATAGCTTAAGGACCTGCTTGGGAGTTTCTAACTACATGTCATGAACGTTTTTTAAAGTACCAATTTTGAGCGTTTATGAACGGATCAATTTTGAGTGATTTTACTAGCGATTTTTTAAACTGTCCAACCTAAACTTGGAAGTTTATTATCCACTAGTTTTGAAAGTTTTTTAAAAGAATGAAATTACATATATGTCTCCTAGTAAAATTTTCTTTCATATGAGATTTTTTTACTCGTAAGTGGTGTTTTACTTATAGATAATTTTTTACATATATTTTAAAATTTAATTTAAAAAATTAAATAAAGTTAAATATTTACTTAAAATTTTAAATTAATATTTTTTTACTCATAAATAAATTTATACTTTTAAATAATTTTAAGTGAATTTTTTTTTTACTAATAAGTAACTTTTTATATTTTATTAGAGAATTTTTGTCTAATTAATAGTATTTTTATTTTATAACAATTGTTTTTACATAAAAGTGATTTTTTACTTAAAAGTAATTTTAAATTCTAATGTAATTTTTCTTATCTTATAAGTGATATTTTACTTATAAGTATTTTTTTTAATTATAATATAATTTTTGAATTATAAATAATTTTTTAGTTAATATATTTTTATTTACAATTTAGTTTTGAACAAAATATGTTGATTGAAAATAATTATTTTATAAAAGATAAAATTACAAGAGAATGTGAGAAGCGGCCAAAACCCGCCAATTTGGTGGATTGATAAAACCACTCAAAATTACACTATACCGGTTTTAGGTGATTTTTAAACAATCCAAAACTGGTGCCCAAAAAAACTAGCAAGCACCGGTTTTTTCAACCTCTCATAAACGGTACCTCCCAAAGTATGTCAAAACCAGTGAAGAAAGAACTCCCATGCAGGCCCTAAGAGTTGACACGACTGCGTTGAATTATGTATCAACTGTCTCCATAACTTCTAAATTTCTGTCATATTACACAAGGAAATGTTATCTGATACTGATGCCGACTCCAATTTATTGGAAAGGGGGCTTATTTTGTCGTTTGTTATTGACCTGCCCCAACCTCGCGCAACCCCGTCCCTTCGAAACCTTGTGAATTTCTGCCAGTATGTTCAATTTAGTTAGAATTATATAATGTCTTTGACATCTATGTGTCCATAAACTGAGTCTTGTAATGTCAACTTTTGATGGTGAAGACAAGTGCTTCCAGTGTTCACTTCAGTATGCATTAAAATTACTTTCAATGAAGAAAAACCACATCAAATGGTGTTTGTTGTTAAAAGAATTTAATTTCTTTTCAACCCCCGCAACCCAAAAAAAAAATTGCGACTACAAAATGGAGTTCAGTAACTATTAAAATGAAGCAAACAGGTAGTGAAGATGACTAAAGAGTATTAGTTTGAGCTTGTTTTGACAATATGCTACCAGTATAGACTATGAATGGGCTGCTAATTATTGGTAACTGTTGTGCATGGACCAAAGATGGGGTTAAATATTTATTAATAATTTTCTCTTTTGTCTTTCAGCAACATCGATGAGATGATTGCAAAATATGCACAACTATCTCCAAAGGAAAGGACCAAAAGGCAAGTTGCTATTTTTCGACTTACATTGATTCTGTGAAATTGAAGTTCTATCGATGCAAAATAATTCCATTTTACCTTTTCTTTTCTTTGCTTCTTTTGTTGAGAATTATACAGGAGGTTGGAAAGTCTCGAAGTAAGTTTGTTGTTTGAAGTCAACTATGTTTTCCATTGTCATTCAGTCATTGTGTCCGATTTCTTGCTCAATGGAAGCAAAACATGATTATTTTGGTTCATTTACATGATAGACTTTGAAGAGAAACTTTAAGAAGCTTGATCAAGATGTGGATATTGAAGAGTTTTTGGATGCAAGGTATGAAATTATATAGGTCGGTTATATATGTTTGACCTTAATGTACTATCTGACTGACATTTTTTTCTTCTGCTTTTCCATTTTTCAGTTCTCCCTCAATTGAGGTATTCATCATTTATCAGTGCCAGCATCACTAGTACTTTTGCAAATTTCCGTCTAGTGTTAGCTTCGGCTAGTCCTCCTTCATTAATCTTTTCATGGTTGCTCATAGGAAATGCTCAACCAGGCAAAGATGCTGCAAGAGCAACTTACAGAAGTCCAGAAAAGACTTGGGTAACTCTCTACAACTATTAGTCAATTATGTACTACTTTTAGTTCAACTCTTTGATTATGATATGAGTTCATGGTATACAAAGCTCCAACCAATCTGTGTTAAAAATAAAAAATAAAAAAATAAAAAATCACTCTTATTAAATTACTGATTTCCCTTTCTTCTCTGAGTAAATAGGATTTGAATATTTGAAAATATATCTTCTAATCACTTGTATTCAAGCACTTATATAATCATGTAAAATAATACCTTCTCTATCTCATAGCCTCAGTTTGCTCTTAATCCACTCCTAATATACTTTATTTTAGTAAAGATCATACTTTTTGTCATAAAAATGACTATCATAGTATTTGTTTCTTTTCATGTTTAACTTCAATTTTTCCTCTGCAATCTTGCAAAATTGGTGAACTCGTCAGTAAATATGTTTAGTTATCTTAACTGTTTTCTGGCTGCAGCTTCTGGACTAATCCCGACAAAATCGAAGACATTGAACATCTCTGTCAGATGGAAAATTCACTAAGGGAATCACTCAATAGAATTCACATGCAAAAGGTAAAGTTTTGCTTCTTATGTCTAAGAAATAGGAGGGATTTGGAAGATTTTGGTCCTGATTTTTAAAATCATTGTTTTTCATGTCATTATAAGCTAC